GTTTGGCGACAAGGTCATTGAGGCAAATCTGTACGAGGTCCCAAACAACATGCTCAGTTATGATCTGTTGCTTGAAAGAGATGTGCTGTGCGGGCAGGATAAACGGATGATCATTGACGCAGGGTCAATTATGCTGCAAATTAAAACCACGAACCAGTTTAACGTTAAAAAAGAGCTGAAGGAGGACCAAAGGCAGAAGGTACAAAAACTGTTAGCGGGTTACGATGTCTGTTTTGCAGAGGGTATTTCCACGCTGGGCAGATGCAAGACAACGTCGCTGAACATTGAGGTTGCTACTCCAGGTCCGATTGTAGGTAAACGGTGCCAAGTACCATTCGCGAAGCAGCAAAAGCTATCAACGATATTGAAGGAGCTATTGGCTAACGAAATTATTCGGCCCAGTGTATCACCCCATGCAGCATCCGTAGTTCTGGTAACAAAAGCCAACGGCGAGAGCAGAATGTGCGTATCGCGCGTTAAATGCGGTAACCGTGCGGGAACATTTTCCGGTGGCAGTGGTTGAACAATTGTCAAAGTTAAGTGGCGGGAGATTTTTCACAACGTTAGACATGACCAGCGGGTATTATCAGATACCCATAGAAGAAGAGTGCAAGAAATTCACAGCATTCTTAACACACGAAGGCTTGTATGAATTCAATGTTGTTGTTGTTGTTGTAGCGGCTACTAAACCCCGTTCGGGGCGGTTCATCCATCAACGTTGTCGTCAATTTCAGCTGGGGGGAGGCCAAGGAAGTGTGCGACTTCCACAGGGGCTGTCCATATGGACAGGGGCGTTAGCTGAGTGGGGTTCTCAGGGCATGTGAAGAGGTGCCGGGAGTCATGTGGCGACTCTCCACATGCCGGGCATTGGTTGGGCACATCCTCGTTGATTCTACTCAAGTAGGAGTTGGGCCTGCTGCAATAGCCAGAGCGAAGTTTGGCTATTATAGTGCGGGTCTCCCGAGGCAAAGTTATGTCCCGTCCACGTCCGGTGGTTGTGTGCCTAGTCTACATAACTTGAGACTGATTTCCTGTGATTGCCGCTCAGGACCTGTCGGTAGAAGGGCAGTTCGTAAAGATGCCTCCTGACGTGCCGTGGCGAGGGCTCTTCCGCGAGCAGCTGTCCGCTGGGATGGCCACGTCTGTGGCTCCCAGCAAGGAACTGCTTGCAGAGCATTATGTTATGCTCCTTTACTGGGAGCATCTGGGCCTCGGCATGTAGGTGGTGTTGTGGCGTCATCAGGAGGCATCAATGTAATGCCATTCGGTTTAGTAAACGCGCCGATGGTATTCCATGAGATGGTCATACGAACTATATCAACACTCAAATCACGAAACAAGGGTGTTAGCTACGTCGACGAGCTAATTATAGCCACATCGTCTTACGAAACACCTTCACAGCGCTTCCCACACCAACCGACGTCCATCTCGGTCAACGTAAGTTCCGCAGGGCTGTCACTGCTGCTGCAGTTCGCTTCATACCGGCAGGATGTATAATGGACCCACGTCCAAACTTCCCTGCCGAAGCGGCTGTTCTAGCCGATGAGCGTGATAGCCTTCGTCAGGCCGATCCCGGAGATCTCCGCTGTCCAATCCGACCAAGCACGACGACAGAGTCGAAATTTCCTTCGGCGACCATGCTTCGTCGGACCCGGAGCGATGCGAGAGCTATTTTAGCCGGCAGTTCATACTGCATCCTCCGGTGGACAAAGCCAAGCGTCGAGTGACCAGAAGGCTGCACAAACTGCCAACAACCTGTGGCCCCCTTGCTTTCACTTGCGGTGAAGTTCAGGTGGCCATCGGGAAGGCGAAAGCCTTCAAAGCCATGGGTCCCGACGGAGTATGCATGCTGATTCTGAAAAATTTGGGTCCTGCGGGGGTAGCGTACCTAACGGAGGTCTTCAATTTGTCTATGGCCACTCTCGTCATTCCAGACATCTGGAAGGTGGGGAGAGTGGTCCCACTGCTCAAACCGGGGAAACCTGCCAACAAAGGAGATTCTCATCGTCCGATAACACTCCTTTCCCCGGTAGCGAAGACACTCGAGGCCTTGCTACTCCCGTATTTCACAAACCACTTGACCCCAGCGAAGCATCAGCATGGTTTCCGTAAAGTGCACAGTACAACAACAGCACTTAACGCCATAAACACTCAGATAACTCGTGGCCTTAACCGAAACCGTCCCTGTGAGAGAACGATTCTAGTAGCGTTGGACTTGTCAAAGGCGTTTGACACCGTCTGCCATTCCACGCTACTAGAAGATATAGAGGCGTCCTCTCTCCCACAGAGGCTCAAACGGTGGTCGGCAAATTATCTGAGTGGTCGACACTCGTCGGTAATGTTTAGAGACAAAACGAGTAAATTCAGGAAAATAAAACGGGGGG